GTTTATATTTGTTTATTGATGGTTTTGGGAATTTTAAATTAAGATTTTAGTTGAAAAAGTTGTTATTCAAGAATTATAGAATGTTTTTACCAATTAAATTTAAGTTAAATAATTTATTTGAGTTATTCAATATATTATTAAGATTTTAATCGGTTAGAATATTGAGTATGTCAAAGATATATTGTTGAAATAATTTTTGGAAGTATAAAGAATTGTAAATTGAGAATTTTATAAAAATTAAAATTTATTTATACTTCACAAGAGTCCCTTAGCTGCGGAAAAATTTTAAATGGGACTATAATAAATAGTTGAGATTTTAATATAAAATATTTATATTGTAAGAAATATATATTTATTTAAGTTATTAAATTCAAATAGTCTTATATGTAAATTATATTTTCAAAATATTATATTTATTATAAATAGCAAAATTTGGGAGAGTTAATATGTTTATGTATTTTTGGTTTAGAGGGTAGTCTTAGAATTTTAGAGTAGTTTTGGAATAGTTTCGTGTTTTATATTAATAAATATTTATGTGTAATTTTGTAGACCCTTGAGAATTTTAGAGTAAATTTTGTGTAATTATTTGTAAGCTAAAGAGTACCAGGTAACTCTGAAAATTCTTTCTTGTACATGTGAATTGTGTATGATTATATTGAGAATTTACTAATTTTTATATTACTGAAATATAATATTACGAATTTTTTTAAATAAATGTTTTGGTATGTTACCTGATTTTATTGATTTATTGCTAGTAATTATGATTAATATTTAAATATATTAATAGCTATGAAATTATCATGAGTTGCTATTAAATGGTATATGAATTTTATTGCTATCTTATTTTTAATAATATATTTGAGAATATATTTATGATGTACCATTATTTGCATATGACATGCATTGTTGGGGTAAGAATAGAAGGAGATTGCATGGATATAAATTACCACGTGGTATGCCATCACTCGGTGCACAGTAGATGGCACTTGTCAGGGCCCCTTTTTCCATGTTTTCCTTTGGCTGGGAATTCATTAGAGCTGTGGGACATGTGACACTTCCCTATTCACAAAGGAGGGGAGCCATATTCTAAGCTTGAGCTCTATATTTTTGGCCGAATATATCTCTAGTATCGGTGAGCTTGGAATAATTTAGTAAAATGGATTAGTTCCTATCGGACTATGTGTTAGCCTATGGCTCCAGTCAGCGGTATAAGGGTGGACAGTGATATAAGGGAGGCAGCATATTGCATTATTTTTGGATATATTGAAAAAAAAAGAAATTGAATTGAATGTGTCAAATCCATGATTTTTAATATATACATATATATAGACATATAAATAGATTTTTGATTTATCATATATGGTTTTCTTGTATAGGTTAGAATTTTAGTAGTTACTGAGACGTTTGATCTCACCCTCTATATTAACAATTTTCAGGCGAAGGATCTAGTAAGAATCAAAGGAAGGCACCAATAGAGTGAGCCGTGAAGGCTTTTGTGCTCCTCAAGCACATGTTATGTTATATTTTTATTTGCCATGACTATAAGACTTCAATAGTTTATTTTGTTAAGTTATATTAGAAATGTTTTGAAATTATGACTTGTTTGAAATGTTAGAAATATGTATGGACTTTTAAATTAAATATTTTGTTGCGTATATTGATATAATTATGTGAGGTGTTGCATATGCGACAGCAGTGAGATTCTTTCTCTTGGAGTTGCGACAGTGAGAAGCCGAGAAATCGGTTCCAGAAATAGCAGTCAAGGCTTTGCAAACCTGAATAATAGATAGAACAACCAAAATAATAATAATAAATGAAAATAAATTATTGGGTTGCCTCCCAACAAGTGCTTGTTTAGAGTCTTTAGCTTGACTATATCAGCAAATCAGGAAGGCGTAAATAAGGAGTAGACCATTTTCTGTCAATCTACTTCACCACCATGATAATGTCTAAGTCTTTCCCCATTCACCTTGAAGCAATCACCTGTTCTTTCATCTTTGACCTCCACAGCTCCACTTGGTGCCACATAAATCACTCTAAAGGGCCCTGACCATCAAGATTTAAGCTTTCCAGGAAACAACTTCAGATGTGAGTTATAAAGCAGAACAAGTTGTCCAGGTTCAAATTTTCTAAACTAAAATGTGCTTGTCATGAAATCTTTTGGTCCTCTCTTTATAGATTCTAGAACTTTTATAAGCTTGTAGTCGGAATTCATCTAACGCATTTAGTTGCATCAATCTTTTCTCACCTGTTTGATTCGTATCAAAATTTAATCTCTTTACAGCCCAAAATGCCTTATGCTCTAGTTCAATGGGTAAGTGACATGCTTTTCCAAAGATCAATTGATACGGAGACATACCAATAGGAGTTTTAAAAGCTATCCATAAGCCCATAATGTAGCACCGACCTTATCTGCCTAATCCTTTCTAGTAGGACTTAGTCTTTTCCAAAATCCTTTTGATTTCTCTATTTGATACTTCACATAGGCCATTGGTTTGAGGATGGTATGCCAAAGCGATTTTATGAGTGATTCCATATTTCGCAAGCAAACTTTTAAACAATTTGTTATTAAAATGAGTCCCCCTATCACTAATGATTGCTTTCGGTATGCCAAAACGAGTAAAAATGTTCTTTTTCAAAAATCACACAATCGTATTAGCATTATTAGTATGGCATGCCATAGGCTCAACCCACGTACTCACATAATCAACAGCAACTAGAATATATTGATGTCCTCTAGATGAAATAAAAGCGCCATGAAATCAATTCCCCAGACATCAACTAATTCTACCTCAAGAATACCTGTTTGGGGCATTTCATGCCTTTTTGATATGTTACCTATTCTTTGACATGCATCACAATGAGAAGCAAAAGCATAGGCATCTTTAAAAAGAGTAGGCCAATAGTATCCACATTGCAAAAATCTTACAAGCAGTACGGTTACCATTAAAATGGCCTCTGCAAGGAGCATCATGGCAAGCAGATAAAATTTCATATTGTTCATTTTGAGGCACACTTTCTTAAAACTTGATCAGCACATCTCTTATACCAGAAAGGTTCATCCCACACAAATAATTTCGCGTTGTGCAAAAACTTTTCCTTGTGGTACGAATTGACATTAGGTAGAAGAACACCACAGACCAGAAAATCCACATAATCAGCATACCAAGGCAATTCAGTACAGGTAATAACAAACACATGTTCATTAGGAAAGCTATCATTAATCTCATTTTCCTCTTTCTCATTCTCTAACCTAGACAAATAATCAGCAACGTGATTTTTACAACCTTTTCTATCAATTATCTGAACATCAAATTCTTGCAACAATAAGATCCATCTAATTAACCTAGGCTTAGACTCTTTTTTACTTGCCAGATATTTGATTGCAGCATGATCAGTAAAGACAGTAACTTTAACACCCATCAAATAGGCTCTAAACTTATCAAAAGCAAACACTATAGCTAATAGCTCTTTTTTAGCAGCAGTGTAATTTTCTTGAGCTCCAGTTAGAGTCTTACTGGCATGGTAAATTGCATGAAATACATTTGCCTTCCTTTGCCCAAGAACAGCCCCAACCGCATAGTCACTTGCATCACACATCACCTTAAATGGCAATGACCAATCAGGAGCAATAATGATCGGAGCATATATCAATTGTCTCTTAAGTTCTTCAAAAGCTTTCAAATAATCTTAATCAAAGTTGAAGCTCAAGTAGCTAACAGAGTGGCTTGGTGATCTTAGAGAAATCCTTGATAAATTGACGATAAAAGCCAGTATGGCCTAAGAAACTTCTCACAGCCTTCACATTTGATAGAGGGGGAACCTGCTCAATAACAGAGGTCTTTGCTCTATCTACTACCTCTAAGCCCTTTTTCGACACCTTATGACCTAAGATAATTCCCTCAGTGACCATGAAGTGATATTTTTCCCAATTAAGTACCAGGTGTGTCTCTTCATATCTTTTGAACACCATCTCTAAGTTCAGTAAGCAACTATCAAATGATTCACCAAATACAGAAAAATCATCCATAAACACCTCCATTTTCTCTTCTATCATGTCAGAGAATAAGCTCATCATACACCTTTGAAAAGTGGCAAGTGCATTGCAAAGACCAAATGGCATTCTTCTAAAGGCAAACATGCCATAAGGGCAAGTAAATGTTGTTTTCTCTTGATCATCAAGATGTATGGCAATTTGATTGTATCCTGAATAACCATCCAAGAAGCAAAAGAATTCCTTGCCAGCTAATCAGTCTAACATTTGGTCAATAAAAAGAAGTGGAAAATGACCTTCCTCATGGCTTCATTAAGCTTTCTATAGTCTATACAAATTCACCAACCAGTAACTGTTCAAGTCGGGATGAGCTCGTTTTGTTCATTAGTGATTACTGTCATGCCACCTTTCTTAGGAACACATTGCACTGGGCTAACCCACGAGCTATCCAAAATAGGATAAATAATTCCAGCATCCAACCACTTAATAACCTCCTTTTTTACCACTTCTTTCATCATAGGGTTTAGCCTCCTTTGGTGCTAAATGGATTTCTTATGATTATCTTCGAGTAGAATCTTATGCATCATTATGGCAGGTCTAATTCCCTTAATATCTGCTATTGTCCATCCTATAGCTTTCTTATTATTCTTTGACACCTGTAGTAACTGCTCTTTTTGCTCTAGTGTGAGCGATGATGAAATTACCACTAGTAATGTTTCAGAATTTCCCAGATATGCATACTTCAGATGGGACAGAAGTGGCTTCAACTCTAACATTGGGGGTTACTCTAAAGAAGGGCTAAGAATCGGAGTCGTTAGTGATTCTAGCGCTAAGGATTTAAATTGCCAATACCTCTTAGTGAATGTTGTAAAACATGCTCAATTTGCCCTTGGTTAATATCCTCCCCAATATCAATTTCAACTAACAAGGTTTGGAGAGGGTCATTATTAGCAATCGAATCCAACTCCTCTTGAATCAACTCTTCTATCACTAAAATACTTGCACATTACTCAACTATATTTGGATGCTTCATTATTTTCTCTATATTGAAGGTGAGTTGCTCATCACCAAATCGTACACTTATTGTCCCTTTCTCTACATCCACTAATGCTTTCACTGTAGCCATAAATGGTCTTCCAACAATTAGTGGAATCTCCTCATCCTTTTTAATGTTGATGATGATAAAATCAGCAGGATATATTAATGATTCAACTTTTACCAATACATCCTTAATGACACCGTATAGATATGAGAGACTTCGGTTAGCTAACTGAAGTGTAACAGTCATAGGACTAGCTTCTCCTAAATGGAGCTTCTTAAAAACAAAAAGGGGTATAAGGTTCACAGCAGACCCCAAGTCACATAGTGCACGACCTTTAAATTGTTCCCCAATTAAGCATGGGATAGAAAAAGAACCAGGATCCTTACACTTTAGAGGGATGTAGGGCTTAATTATGCTAGTTGTCGCCTTAGTCAATGCCACAGTCGCATACTCAGTAAGGCGTCTCTTCTTGCTTAACATATCCTTGAGACACTTGGCATATTTGGGCATGTGCTCTAATGCCTCAGAAAAAGGAATATTGATATGAAGTTGCTTAAAGATTTCCAGAAACTTAGAGTATTATTGATCTTTAACCTGCTTCTGAAACACTTGAGGGAAAAGAAGTGGTGGCACCACTTTAGGATGCTCAGCTGTCTTCTCCTTACTAGGCACACCATTAGTTTCCTTCTCATCAATAGTTGGTTCATTTTTGCTAAGTTCAGAACATACCTCACTTGTTTGTTTCGACTTTGATGCCTTAGGAGATATATCCGGCAATTGCTTACCACTCCTCAAGGTGATTGCGTTACACTCCTCTTCACCATCTTTACGAGGATTAGGTACAGTATTGCTTGGTAATCCTCCTTGTTGATGTGCATTCACTACAATTGCGATTTGCCCCATATGCACCTCAAGATTCCTAAGTGATGAGTCTACTCTTACATTAATGTTGGCTTGCTCTTGATTACTTTTAATTTGAGAAGACATGAGCTTAGCCATCATTTCCTCTAAACCAACCTTGGGCACTTGGTTAGGGATATGTTGCCTTCCCAATTGAGAAAATCCAGGAGGTGAGACTTGCCTTACACTAGAAGTTAACACAAGTTGGGTGATTCCGTGATCCTAGGTTGTAAGTGTTGGCACAAGGGTTGTTCTGATTATTACCCTGAAAATTTCCAACATAGTTCACTGGCTCTACTTCTTGAAACGTAGGGCACTATTCAGAAGTATGTCCATCTCCACAGTAATCACATAGGGTATATATGGCATTAACCCTTAGTTATCCTCTATTGGATTTGTCAACTCGTGCTTCTAAGTGGTCAAATCTTTTGTTAAGAGTATTGAGCATAGCTATCACTTGTGAAGAAGAGTCATCAGCAGCATTTTCTATAGATTTTACTTGTTTTCATTCATTACTACTCTGAATGTAATCAGCAGCCAAGTCGTCCAAGCAACTCCAAACATGGTTCATCAGTTGCTTGGTAATTCCTCCATTTGTAATAGCATTTAATTCAGATTTGGATTCAGGTGTCAACTGACTACTAAAGATCTGAAGTAGGACCCACTTCTCTTGATTATGTCCTAGGCTTTGTCTGACCAGTAATTTGAATCTTTCCCAAGCTTCATATAGGTGCTCATCAAATTTTTGGCTAAAATTCATTAATTTGGCTCTAGCGTTCACTATCTTGTTATGAGGGAAGAATCTGGATCGAAACTTCTCTTCTAAGTCATCCCATGATGAGATACTACCTTCTTTCAGGTTGTTGAGCCATTTTTTAGCCTTCCCTGGTAAAGAGTAAGGAAAGAGCCAGAGATGAATGACATCACTAGGAACTCCATTCTACTTGAAAGAATCACACACATCAAGAAATTCGATAGTATCCCCCAAATTGCCCAATAAATTCCAACATTTTGAGCATTGTTTGCTTAATCTCAAAATTAGTGGCTTGGAATTATGGTACTTTGATTCTTGATTGGTCTCCTCGGGGTTGTTTTCCCAAGAAGTCATTGACACCTAATCTATCATTCTCATCTTCAGCCATCTCTTTTTCTACAGTTTTGCAAATTGTATACTCCGGTGTTGTTGTCTTTAGAAGCTCATTCACGCTCCTTGTCTTCCTAGGTATATTTCTTGATCTACGTGGCATATACTATGAATTACTGCAAAGACAAAGAGGGAAGAGATCAAGAATCGAATTGGACAATGAAAAGAAAATAAATTAAGAAATAAATTAAAATTAAAATAAAGAAAATTGTCCTAACTATCAAAATAAGTAAAAATAAATTAAAAAAAACTAAATGCTTAAGCTTAAATTACTAAAGGTCCTCTAATTCTAAAACTAATTGCCTTAATTCCTCCGCAACGGTGCCAAAAACTTGATGCACACAAATTGTGAATAACGCAAGTGCACATGTTGATCAAGTAATAAAGAGTAAGTATAGAGTATCATTCCAACAAAGAATCAGATAAAATAGTGTTTAGGCATTAAAGTTCTTAGTTTCAATTAAGTTAAGCAAGCTGAATTGCGATTGATTGGATAAAAAGAATAAGGAAAAATTCAATATTAAAGGCAACCTAGAGTTACTAATCCCTTACTAGTTTCATAGACTTTTGCTTTTATTTAACTAATTAGTCTCAATGTTAATTTAGTTAATCTAGAGTATTTATAGTTTTAAAAGTGTCTTTCTATCCACTTATAACCCTCTCCTAAGTAATAAGGTTATGTCTAACTCAAATACTTAAGAGGATAAAATAATTTCAGTCTTCATCGATTATATGGGGCTCCTAGGTATACTTCTATCATACTCGCAACTTAGATAAAAAGTTAAGCCCGTATTACTCAATCCTAGAGCCTAATTAAGATTTCCTTTGTCAAGGCTAACCTCAATGCTCAAACTCATATTTAATGGTGGCCAAACATTAAACAGATATATTAAACTAAGATTATGTAACCAAAATTAACATCAAGCATAATTCATTAAATGAAAACAAAGTCTAATCCATATGTAAGTTCATAGCTACTCTAAGTCTAGAAAGAACTAGCCGTACATGGCTAAAATAAAATCCATAAAAATAAAATTCAAACTGAAAAGAAAGAGTTTAGATTCAACAAAAGAATAAAGATGGAAAGAGGAAAATAAATCTATGAGAGGTCCTTCTCCGCTGTTGCTAGAAAGAGAATCGCCACCTCTGCTTGCTACCTCCAGTCTACTCATCCCAAGTCCTCACTGCTGTCACGGTGGAACTAAGACTTACGATTTGATTCCACACTGCTCTCTCTACTCGCTGCCTTTTCCTCGTCTTTTAGCTGTTGTCGCCAGAAACAGCACGTAGAATTTGAGATGCTTCCTCGCTACTATCCCCGTTTCCTATTTATAATTGTTGTGCGTCTTCTCACCCTTGAATCCACTGCCTTTTATCCATACACACATATCTCCAATATAATATAATACATTATATTATCTCATGCTGATTTGCCTTGCGTTATTACGGTTCCTTTAACTTCTTCCTTGTAGTCAACATAATATACTATATTCTATTGCAACTAATTTACTTTTTGAATCCACATGCCTCACGCCTCTTCATCCCTTTATATCCTTCAAGATAATATATTATATTATATCATAATTGATGATTTGCTTCCTTCATGAACTTCACACTTTGATCCTCCTGATATGTGAATATATATATTATTTGCTACATATGTTGCTCCCTTTTGTCTCATCTTTTATTTGTGATATTTTCTTCTCTCAATAATTTTATATCTCCTGTATTAAAAATAATAAAAGATTTGAGTAGATTTTATGCAGGATCATCTTTTATCCTATAATTGATTTAAAAGAAGAAAATCTATAAAAGATAATTAAATAGGTATAAATTATTCACAGATTTTACTAAATATATTTCAAAATCTATACCTATTTAATTATAAAAATAATCATTATCACATACTACCCCAAATTACCCATTTAAGCAGAGAACTATGGAGCAGAGGAATGGCTAATTCAAGAAATGCCAAATAACAACACACTTGAAACTAATATACTAGAGACTATCCCTAAAATACATAATGACACACCTAAAACTGACATACCAGAGACTATCCCTGAAACACACAATGACACACATGAAACCTCTCTCGAACCAACTAAAGAATGTTAGAAGACATAAATACCAGACCTCGAGCAAATAACCAGACTACCACTAAAATAATTGAAGAGCAAACGAAGGATAGAAGCATAAAGAACAGAGTCAATCCCAATCCAAGGCATGACCATAATACTAATTCAAGGTCAAATATAGAGGATCTAGGCTAGCCTATTGCTATGAGAAAAAGGGTAAGGTTTTGTACTCAACACCCAATACAAAGATTTGTGTTTTACAGTAACTTATTCCCTAGAATATAAAGTTTTGTGGCTAATAGTTCACAAGTAAGGATGCCAGAAACCTACCAACAAGCTCTAATGGATCCAAATTAGAGAAAGGCTATTGAGGAGGAGCTAAAAGCACTAGAAGACAACATGACTTAGGTCTTAGCCACATTGCCTAAAGGGAAGAAGGTGGTAGGCTGTAAATGGGTGTTCACCCATAAATTCAATCCAGATGGAAGTCTAAACAAATATAAAAGCAAGATTAGTTGCAAAGGGATACACCTAGACCCATAAAATCAACTACCAAGAGACCTGTGCACTAGTAGCTAAATTCAACACTATCAATGTTCTCCTATCCATGGTAGCCAATTTGGATTGGCCCCTCCACCAACTGGATGTAAAGAGTGCCTTCTTGGATGGAGACTTGGAAGAGGAAGTCTACATGGAAATCCCTAATAGAGTTCAAAGATCAGATTATGCCACTAAAGTGTGCAAGCTAAGGAGATCCTTGTATGGGCTCAAACAGTCCCCAAGAGCCTGGTTTGACAGATTTGCTAAAGCCCTAAAGAAAAATGGCTACTCACAAGGGCAGGCAGACCATACTGTGTTTACAAGGCATAATAACAACAAAGTCATTATCCTAGTGATGTATGTTGATGACACAGTAATCACTTGGAATGATGAGATATCTATAGCACAACTAAAGAAAGCACTCGCAACTGAATTCCAAGTAAAAGATTTGGGTCAGATGAGATATTTCCTCAGGATGGAGGTCATTAGAATGAAGAAAGAGATCAACGTTTTCTAACAAAAATATACATTAGGCCTTCTACAACAGACTGGTCTCCTAGGCGCCAAGCCTGATGAAACTCCTATGGAAGCATCACGCAACTTAGAGATTAAGCCGAATAGGATCCCTGTGAACTTCGAGAGATACCGAAGGCTCGTCGAAAAACTAATATACTTAACTCACACGACCAGACATTAGTTATGCTGTTAGGGTGGTGAGCCAATTTATGCACCAACCCCAAGAAGAGCACATGGAAGCAGTATACCAAATCCTTAGGCACCTAAAATTGAACCCTGAAAAGGGAATATTCTTTGCCAAAAATAGGATGAGAGGTATAGAGATTTTCAGTGATGTAGACCATGGAAGGTCTGTGGAAAATAGGAGATCAACTACCGGGTATTGTACTTATGTTTGGGGAAATGTGGTCACATGGAGAAGCAAGAAACAAATGGGGAAAATAGGAGATCAACTATCGGGTATTGTACTTATGTTTGGGGAAATCTGGTCACATGGAGAAGCAAGAAACAAATGGTGGTTTCAAGAAGTAGCATGAACGCAGAACTGAGGGCAGTAGCACTATTTGTGTGTGAAGGAATTTGGGTTATCAAACTCTTAAAAGAACTAAGGGTTCAACATGAGGGAACCCTACAACTATAGTGCGACAATAAATCCAGTATTGAAATGACCAAGAATCCTATCTATCATGGTAGGACCAAACATGTGGAAATTGACAGACACTTTATCAAGAAGAAAGTAGGTGTATTAATTAATTTGACCTACATACGCTCAACAGACCAGATTGCTGACATCATGAGCAAACCTCTAGCAAGAGTTCAATTTCAAGGGCTTCGAAACAAGCTAGGAATGCTAGATATCTATTCTCCATCTTCAAGGGGAGTGTTAGAAATCATCGTCTAAGATCTCTCTTGACCGTTAATAGTATTTTTCCTTATTTAGTGTTCCTCATTCCTAGGCACAGATCATGGGATACTAATTTTTTTATTCTGCATTAATGTCCCTTTATTATATTCGATTCTTCACTGATTGTAATCAAAGCCCAGCACTCTATATAAGCACTGGGTTATTAATCAAATAATACACAGAGCAATATTCAGTATATTTTTACTATCTCTACTCTCTGCCCTGTAGTATTTCGATAATTATCATATTTTCTTATCCCCTTCTTGACATTCTGTACACGGGAACTTGAATGATCATCACTTTACTCCTTAATTAGTACACTGGCAGTTTAGCACTTTTAAGTAATAGTTTAAATTAAAAAATAATTTCCCTAAACTTTTGAGAAAGTAGAAAATTGAATAAAACTATTTTTAGCTTTTGCATATTTGTTGCTCTTTCATGAAAACGTGCTATGATTTTTATTATTATAAGGCTAGAAAAAGTTTTAATGCAGCAGTCCGCAATATGAAGGACTATCAGAACCCTGACTTCCTGTTACATGCTGTGAGGTATCAAGATATTGACCAAGTAGGATCTTGCTTTGATAAAGATGTATTCGACCCTCATGGATATGATCCAAGTGACTACTATGACCAAATAGGTGCTTAACTATTTCTTCTCTCCATCTACCTTCTGGTGCTTCCCTATACTTGTTTATTTTATGCTCATATTTTACATGATTTTGTCAATTATGTGATACTTTTTGTGTTCTTGCCGACATTAATATTTCATGCTGTCATATTCTAGATATATTGGTTGCTGGTATTTGGTTTGTTTAGGCTATTATTGTTCACTATGCTTGGCAGTGGACTTGATATCTGGAATTAAAGAACTAGTTTATTTTCTAACCTGATGTTGAAATTATGTTTTACAGTTGGATTGTGTTTCTTCTCTTCAAAAATCCTTTTGATATCAGCCAACATCTATACATAGTTGTGTATGGCCAGTTCTATCTGCTTTGGGGTTCTTTCTATGTTTTTAATGAATATGTTGGTCATGATTTTGGAAGTTAAATACTAGCCTAGTTCAAGTTTTCATTGTCAATTTAACCAACTTATTGGTCATGCCATATTTTGTTATTTGTTCATATTTTTCTCGACACATCACTAAGGCCGACTTTCATCCCTGGTTGATGGATGGGTCTTGCAGTCAAGCTTCCTTTAAATACTTGACACTGATGTTGCTTTACCGCCCTTAACTATCACAGAGGCAGACATGAGACGTGAAAGTGACCGGAAAGAGCAGGAGAGGAAAGCCCAGAAAGTTGAATTTGTCTCTAGGGGAGCACAACCAGGAATTGTAACTGGTGTTCCAAGGATCAATGTATCCGTTGCAGGTTATAAAGCAACCTAGTTTACCTATGGTATGGCAAAGGTCATTCTTACTACTCATTTTCTATTTTATGTTGATTTTCTCTCTTCTTTCTTCAGGTGGTTTGCCTTTGATGCCTCCTACTGCTGAGGCCACCAATCGTGATGGTAGACTAAAAAAAAAAAAAATCAAAGTGGGACAAGGTATTCATTTAAACAAATACACCAACACGTGCCACTTCAAATTTTTATCTGTGCTCACAAGATTTCAGTGAATAATAATCATGTTTAGGTGGATGGGGATTGGAAAAATCCTCTCCCCTTTGTGGGGCAGGATTCTGTGCCTACTGACACTACAATTTTATTTGTTACTAATGATGGTGGTGGATACATGCATTTTGCGTAAGATTATGAATAACTTTGAGCTTCTTTATGTATTCTAGAGTGAGATGGGTTTGATACTATGACCATTGTTGTAATGTTGGAAGCGGCAAAAACCACGAGAGGCAGAGGAGAGAAGGTCAATTGAAAGGAAGGAAAGAAGGTCATGAGCTCCACTCATTTTTGTCTGTTAAACTGATACCTACAACCATTTTGAAGTCCTTCAGATTGTCTTCGACAAAAATGTTTGTCTATTCAGTGAGTTTTGCCAAGTCACCATTCTATATATTATCACTGCAGGATTTCAGTCAGCTAAGTGGTTGATTTTATTTTGGTTAACTTTTTTTGCGAGCACACTGAATCAGATTTCAAGTAGGATTGGCATTCCAGTTGCTTGCGGCAGTGCAAATGCACCGCTGATTTGCTTTATAATGGTCTATGTATAGGTTTTTCTTTTCTTTCTTTCTTTCTTTTTTTATTTTTTTTATTTTTTGTTGATAATTCTTAATACATGTGAGAGACAGAGAGAGTAAATAAATGACCCTTTTTCATTGGAAATGATGTTTTGCGCTTTTATTGGATCTAGAAAGTGTGCTCTTGCTGTTGTCAATGTGAAAGCAAGTAAACCGAAAGATAAAATAAAGGCATCAACGGTAATTTTGTTAACTAATATCAAAAAAGTAAAAATGGTGAATTTAAATGCTATGTATTTTATTCATTCTAGCTAACAGTTCAATATTGACCTAATAAAGTTATCTTCATTATTTCATACCATTATCTTTCGAAATCTGGACCATAATAGATTGGCATGATTTAAATCTTATCTCTAAATCGATCTAAAAATATTATATCCAGTCATAATTATAAAACATTGTTTGTAGTCTACAAACGGGGTCTTATAATTAGAACTTGAGGTAATGTAACTTATCTAGTATGCTCGCAGTTTTTTTTTTTTGGCCAAAGTAGTATGTTCACAGTTAAGTCTCAATCAATTACACAATTTAAGTGATGGACATAAACCTTACATTTAATTTCATTTTTTGCTCTTCTATACTCTCACATATCATAAAAATGAATATTGTTTCATACAATTATGAAGAACTCCAGGGTCAATTGTGACCAATCTCATTAAACTAATTAATAATCTTAATAACACAAACAAACAAACCACACAGATGTTGAAAGCTTCACAATCACAACACATCAATTTTTGAATCTTTCATACATTAATGAAACAAATCACACTTTGGCTTGAGTTTTGTCATGCATCACCCAATGGTTTATGATAAAAACAGGGTCTCATTTATCAAATAACTGAGAATTCAACAAAAGCATCAACGCGCAAACGTCTGTTCATATTCATCATCACCAAAGGTGCAAGGAAACAAGAAAAACTGTTGAGTGTATTCTACATATATTCATGTTATCATATATAAATCATTTTTTAGTCAATTCGTCAAAAGGTCTTGTTTGTTTTCTTATTTTCAAAACTTTTTTTTGTTTTTAAAAACAAAAAAAAAATTAAAAAGTCCTGTTTTGTAATATGTAATAATTAAGTGTTTATAAAAACAAACTCAAAGACACAAGTAACTTTTAGTTTTTTTGTTTGTTTTTACCTTTCCTATTTTTTGTTTGGAAAAACTGGGAAGCCTTTTTTTCTCTGTTTGTGGCTATTTCTCTATTTAAAAACTTGAGTTCTCATTGAAACTTCACTCTCTGGTCTCAGTATGTTTTTTTTAAAAAAAAAAAACTTGTTTTAAAAAACAATTTTACAAAACTCTTTTGAGGGGGAAAAAAAACAGAAACAAACAGCCCCTATGTTTTTATCATTCTATTTTGTAAATATAGATGGTATTTAATGGAAAAATTGGGTTAAATAGCTAGGCGAATCAAATTATCAAAAACATCCTTTTTGAAATATGCCTGCTGTTTCTTTTCTTCTTAATCACAGTTGATCTCTTTAAAATAAGCAAAAGTGATTCATTAATTCAACCGATACAATATAGAGAGAATATAAAGAAACAAAGAAAAGTTTTATAAAAAGTTTTAAAAAAAAAAAACACACACACACACAAACTCATACTCACAACAAGATGGCTCCTCTGTTTCATCCTTTAATAATATATGTAGCAGTTGTTGATATTATAGTAACTACTATTGGAAAAGAAATTGAAATAAATTTCAACAAGCAACTCATATCTTTTAGTGATAGTAAAGCACAGACAAATGTAGCAAAAACATACACATAATTTAAGAAAAAGAAAAAATTGGCGTGTATGGAGAAAAAAAGAGATGCAAGTTCTTTCTTTTTTTTTTAATGCTTGTCCCCTCATATATAAGGCGGCTTTTATTGATATCATAATAACCACTAGAAAAAAAAAAACAGAGACAATAAGCAGAAAAAATCATAAAAGTAACGAACCTGGAAAGAATGATAACATGGATGATGGACTTATCCTTCTATATAATAACACTATCCTGCAATACCAAATCATAATATTAGCTAGCCTAAAATAGAAGGTAATTTTGAAAACAGACGTTATTGGCATAAGCACAATACAATCAATTTGCTATTTCCTTAGTCATTAACAACACATTTTTCGAAACAATATTTGTTAGTGCGGGTATGTCATACCTTCGTCGAGGATAGCATTTCTATTGTTTTGTTGAGGTCTCCTTTGTCCTTCCATTCCATCTCATGCTGTTCTATTTTTACTCTAGACAACTCTGGTGTTTCTAACAGTCCTAAACAAAACATCTTTATTTCAGGACATCGAGTTATTTCTATCATACTTAATCTTGGGATTTCAATTGCCTGACTTTGTGAAGAAAACATCTTCAAGCTTGGCATATCAATAAGTTCGAGCCACCACAGTCGGTTGAATGTGATTCCACCTTCTACATCTTTGTTGTTCTCATTCAATACAATTTCCTCCATCTTTTTACAATCATTTACCGCCAACCATTCAAGACTCACCAAACTTTTGGCAGTTGAACTTGTCATCAAATAGATGAGTTGATGACATCCAGATATAGACAGATCCTGCAAATTTTGAAATGAAGCAGAGGATGGTGCCAACTTGATCAAGCTATGACAACTTTCGACTTCCAGGCATGTTATTAGGTCTTGATGAATTGGTGGTAGTTGAGAGTCATCCTTCCAAATGCTCTTGAGTTGATCCAAATAGGCAATGTGTAATTTCTCAAATGGTGGGATTTTCCCCATAAAATCAAGAATCTCATCCTGTGAGGGGAATATCTCCTCAAATGAACTGTGCTCCACATAAAGCTCATCCAACTTGGGAAATCTCTTAAGAAAGCTATAGGGAAATATTACCCCTTTATCTGCGAAGCTTTCTACATAAAGAGCTCTCACTTTAGGAAAGACATCCCTTATCATTGTGATATTCTCTGCATTTAAAGCTATGCTTTTGGTTGTGAAAATTACCTATAAAATGATAATTAATAAAACAATTGCCATGATTAATAGACGATTTAGTAAATTACATCAAGATATTGTTTTCAAGGACTAAAACTCTTTTAAATGGATCACTTATCTTTTGCTAATATTTAAAATTGTTATCATTTCATCATAAAATAAGATCCACACATTAAAATTTAAAAAATCCTTTAAATTAACTTCATAGCCCCTTTCTTTCCTCTAAGTTAAGTTGAAAAAAAATCCATAATTTCCCTGGAATTCACATTTAGGGCTAGGCCTTGTTCCTGTTCAAAGATTATCGGTAGACTTATTATTATAAGAAGGCAATTTAATAAATCAGGTCAGAATATTTTTTTAAAATCATAATTTACTTATTTTTATTGTAGATAAAATCTTTCTTAATTGATCCGTCATCTTTTTTTAATACTTATATTTTTTATCAATAATTCCCCCTTCACAAAATCACTTTAAAATAAAAATAAAATTCTTTGAATCACTTTATAGACCCATTTATTTTTCGTCAGAGATCTACCAAACATTGTCACACTATTTGTAGTCCATCACATCCATTAATCGTCATTTGCTTATCAGATTTCGCGTGCGATCAAAGTCTTGTAATTTGATGAAAAGTTTACAATTTTTAGGTAGACGAACGAATGTCCAAACTTTAATATTTATATTAGATATTTATCTCATCCTAAATTTTGTAGATGATGAGGAATTATTTAAAAAGTGAAAAATAAGAATATCAGCATGTTGGACTAACCTCTTGAATAGTAAACCGATGTTGGATGGTAGCATTAAGATCAGTCATCCAAATATCTCTGTCAGATTCACATATTCTCGTCACTCGAACCTTTTGAAGCTGCGGGGCATGAATGGCTCCAGAACAGAACATCATGAGTTGAGGGCACTCTGATATGGTTACACATCGCAATAATGGAAACTTGAAAGTATACTTTTGGCTGCAAAATCTCTTCAATCTTGGTAATTCATCAAGTTCCAAAAACTCCAGTTTGCTGAAAATGATTTTCTTGTCCTCATTGTCCTCTTTTTTCTGTTTCATATATTCTTCTATTTGATGGCATGAACCATCTGGTGAAAATACTAAGGGTGGTACCAAGTTTATTTCTTCTTGGCGGTCATTATTGCTCAGCACATTCTTCAATTTTGGCAAACGCTTTAGCCTTAACTTTTTCAATGGCACAATCACTGATGATGACACAATCTCTTTATAATCATTCAAATCTTCAAAATCAAATACCGTCTCCAACATGCGACATCCCTCAACTTCCAGTTCTTCCCAGTTGCTTAAATATTTCAGCACATGAAGGGGCACCAATTTCACAAAGCCACACCTCCACACAGTAATAGTTTTCAAGTTGCTTAGAGAGTTGTGTGAAAGTTTGTCATCCCATATCGGTGGAATCAAACTGTTCAAAAGGTATAATTGTAATATCTCTAACTTTGGGAATGACACCTGTTGAAAGAAAATACAATTAAATGAATATCCTTCGGCCAAAAACGAAAACAAAGTTACTGTTGATTTGTGAGGCTTAGTTTTCATGAAAGATTGTTTAAATGTGTAAATATAGCTCTCGTGTACCACAATGTTCTTCAAGAGTTTCATAAAAGTTCAACTTCAAATTTCAAGTTAACCAAATAGAAATAACTAACTAAAAAACAAGAGAACTATAAAATGCTACGATAGCTAGCCTAATACCAAAGCATGTAATTTAGGTGAAATAATTTTTGTGGATATATTGAGGCAAGAAAAAATAAGAACATATTTTTACTGAACAGAGTAAATAATTCCAATGAAATTAATTTTCACAGCGTGAGTTTGAAATGAAGAAGTTAATAAAATAAGAAAATCTTGGTAAGGAAAAAATATACTAGATAAGAAAAAAAATAAATTAATTTTTCTCCCAAAAAAATAATAAATTGATTAGTAAATATTCTGACCTCCCTTGTATTTTGCCCTAATTATAAATTTTCCTTCTATTTTGAAAACATAAACTTAAGTCCAAATAATTAAATTTTTTGAGAATATTCTAAAAAGATACTTTTCTAATTAAAATTTATATTAAAATACTTTTGATTTACTAATTTACCCTTCATAATACTAAATTCTTAAATTTTGGCTAAAAAGTTTTGAAAATTTTAAAATGTTTTCTTTTCCTTAATTTTTTTTTCTTTTTTCAACTTTTTGCAGCTAGCTATTTCAATGTTTTTATTATATTAGGATTGAAAATAAGTAACTTAGTGAGTGGAAATTTGGTTAATTCTTTAAATAAATATATCATTGACTAAATGAGTTATAAATATTTCTCATTTGTTTAAAAATTTTAAACTATAAATTTAAATAATTTCTATAATCTATCAAACTTAGATAATCTATATTATATGACGAAAAGAATATGTATTCAAGTAATTCAACGTATTTTTTAGCCATTTAAACAATTAAAATTAACAAATTTTATTACATTTTAAAAAGTCTGAAAATACATGTATTAAAATTATTTTTTGTGGTATGAAAAATTATTTTTGCAAAAAAAAAAAAGAATGTTTAAATAACTTTTATGTGAAGAAGGGGTATCTTGGTCAAAATAAAAGTTTAAAGATCAAATTCAACGGTCAGCTTAGAGTTGGATAGATGGAAATGGAATCTCAAATCAAATATACAAGGGAGGTTTGTACAACATGTATTTTAATTTCAAGGTAGTTTTATATATATTTTTAAAATAAAAGGAAGGTTTCTATAACTTAGATAAAACCTAGGGCTAGTTAGTGTATTTTACTGCAAATTGATTTGAACATACCTTATGATTACTTGTTGCTGGGCCTTCAGTGTTGAAATCCGTTTTATGCTCTTCTGCTTTCAATCTTGGTAGACGACTGAGTTTTAATACTCTCAACGTACTGAACGTGATTCCACCTTCTATATCTTCATTATTCTCATTCTTTACAATTTTCTCCATCTTTTCGCAATCATATATGTCCAGTGTTTCAAGATTCACCAAACTTTTAGCAGCTGAATTTGTCATTAAATAGATGAGCCGATGACATTTGGACACCTTTAGCACCGTCAAATTATGAAGTTGTGGAATTTGATGAACAATGTGTGATGGGAATATCTCCTCAAAGGAACTATCCTTCACATGAAGTTCATTCAGTTGCGGAAATCTTTCAAGCAATGTATACGGAAATGTTACCCCTTCTTCATCAAATCCTTGTATGCCCAGAATTTCCATTTGAGCAAAACAGTCTGCTGGAAATTGGTCATTCCTTATCATGCTAACATCATACTCATCTAACACCATCTCTCTTGATGCCACAAATATCTGTAAAACAATTTTTGAATCAGAAGCATAGTAATATTAATTTATTAATTAAGTCGTTACTTCTTATTGAGTCAGTTATTATTTTGCTTTTTTAATTGTGTCCCAAAGTCCAATGCGCTCACTAGAAGTGTCAAACATTTTGATTTCATTTATTTTTCATAATTAATCTTGGAAAAGAAATAATTGTATCAGCCACAACAAAAAACAATAATACAAAAGCATTTCGCTGTGTATCCCATTAATTAATTAATTATTAATTATGACGTAATTGTTTGTGATGTTTTGCAATTACAATTATTATTTAATTAAAAAATGATAACTAAAATTTTAGTAGAAATTTCAAAACCGAAACAAGTATAGGTATATTTATATTAAATATCATAACAATGGAACATTTATTGATTCATATTTTTGTACAAGCAGGAAATAGCAAGAACGGAGCATTACTAGACGCACCTGTCGGAATAATGTTTTGTTAAGATTGGTGTCCCAAATTTCATGATGTTTTTCCCCCAGTTTTTGTGACAGTAGAACGCTCTGAAGAGATGGTGTATCAATGAGTCCTGGAGAGAATACTTTGAATTTTGGACATTCTGTTATGATCAGCTGATCCAATAACGGAAACCTGAAAGTATAATTGTAGCCGCAAAATTTCTTCAATCTTGGTAGGCGTTCAAGTTTCAAATACTTCAACTTGCCGAAAACAACTTCCTCATCGTCATCATCCTCTCCTTCCTGCTTCCATATAATTTCCACTATGTTAGAGCACCTTCTAATTGAGAGACTTGTGAGATGGACCAAGCTTTGAGCAACTGATGACGTCATCAGAGTGGTCAAATGATAACAACGTTTCACGTGCAGATGTGTGAGATTTGGTGAAGAAACTAAGAGTGGTACCAAGCTTGTGATAACGTCAATATCATCGAGAGTCAATTTTATTGGAAGAGGAACATCATCCCCTCCAGAAGCCTTCATAATGTCACCCCCCAGTGTCAGCTCCGCTAAATTTGGGAAGCTCTTCAACAACAATTTGTATGAAATAGTCGTTGCTTTCTGACCAACATGTAGATGCAGCAGTTTTACTTTGGGGAAGTGGTACATTGAAAGCTGGCCACTCCGTATCATCTGAGCTCCTTTACCCCACAATGTCAACTTCTCCAAATTATGAGTGACCTGCACAATACATAAATCATAACTAAATGTAACTAATCAATGCATCAAAATCCAGCCATGTGCATTTTGTAACTACAAATATTAATTATGATACATTAAAATGAAATAAATTTCTAGTATGGAGTTTCAATCTTTGATTATCACACACAAACGTTATTCCTCCGTTCTTATGTTTTTTAAAAAACCAAATTAAATCTTATAACGTCTTGAAAAAGGGGGGGAAAAAAACCCTCGCTTGATTCAAAGACACCTCTTTTCGGTGAAGATGGAAAGTTAAGGATTGGCGTCCCACTTTTTTAAAAAAGAAAAAAATAGAAAATTATTTAATTAATTTCTAAGATCTAGTAATTAATTAAAATAATTATTATGAATTATTCTTTTTTAGCTTTCTAAGTCAATCATCAAATTAATCCTAACATACATTATTCTAATAAATGGTTTAGTAACAGATATAATTCACATATTTGAGTACTCAAAAATATCAAATTCAACCATGCTTTTAGGTTGTAAAGCAAAATATGTTTTATTATTTATTTTACTGCTTAGAGTTATTTTTTTGCTCTTTTATTAGCGTATTTTTAAAATAAATAATGCATGAATAGGTAATTTAGAAATGTACCTTGTCATGGTATAGTAGAGGATATTTTAAGTCTGATGTGCTCTCTTCCTCATGTATTTCTACTGAACTTGAGACTTCCTTTTCAAATATCTCTAATTCATCACAATATGTAACAGATAACTGTTGAAGGCGTGGCCATTCTAATGTGTGTCTCCGTGGATAGAAATTCCTCAAATTTCCAAGCATAGAAAGCTCAAGGAAAGTAAGCCTAGGAAACTCTAACAGAGGAGCAACAGATTTTGAAACTTGATCCTTCGCAACAATCACATCTATACCACAATTAGATATTCGAAGCTCTTCAAGATCACGAAGCATGCCTTTGGCTATAAATGTAGGAAACAGACTAGTGAGGCTTTCACAATAGGAAACATGCATGCTCCTTAGACTTGGAAAGGAGACATCTCCTTCATAGTGATTGCTCCACACATTCTTTAATTTTTGCAATCTATATAGCGTTAACTTTTTCAGTGGCACAATCACTGATGATGACTCCGCTGCCCCTTTATAATTATTGAAATCTTCAAAATCGAACACAATCTCCAACATGTCACACGCTCTAACTTCTAGTTCTTCCAAGCTATTTAAAGATTTCAGCACACGGAGGGGCACCAATTTCACAAGGCCACAATGTTCCACAAACAATATTTTCAAGTTCCTAAATGAGTTGTGTGAAAGTTGGTCATCCCATATCAATGGAATCAAACCGATTGAATTAGATAATCGCAATATCTCTGATTTTGGAAGCAGCACCTTCAGTTCACAGAAAATATGATTAAATGAAAATCACTTTTAGTTTGTAGGCTTACTTTTCATGAAAGACTGTTCAAATGTCTAGATAAAACTCTCAACCACCACAATATTATTCAAGAGATCGCTGAAAGTTCAATATGAAAATTCAAGATAAAAAAATAAAGTAATTGAAAAATTAAAAAAAAACTGTAAAATGCTATTACCAAAATTAAGAACAAAATAAGAAGAACAAACTTGAAAAATGCCATAATAGACTGATAGCAAAGAAAATAATTCTAGTAAAAACTACTTTTTGCAGGCAACTATGTTTGAAGTTTTGTCGAAAAGTTAAAACCAAAAAAATAAGAATAGTTAAAACAACATGAAAATGCCATATTGTTGAAAAGGGATTCCAAAGTTTTATTACAATGATTAGTCATCAAAACCACGAACTACATTCTCAGATATTTTGGTGATAGGGACAATTTTCAAAAATATCAAATTAACATGTTTTTAGGCTGATGAATAATTTGAGGCTTCATTATTTATTTTAATACTTGGAGTCAGCTTTTCTCTTTTATTAGCTAATTTTAAGTCATTTCAAAAAATAGAAAATTGCAACCTTTCATAATAGCCTAACAGCAAAGCAAGTAGTTCTGGTGAAAATAACTTTTGCATATAAGTTTGAAGCCAAGTTTTTTAGGAAGATAAAATAAGAAAAAATGTGAATAAAATAATCTGAACATACCTTGTTCAAAAGTGACTCGGACATTTTATTGGATTTGTTATTTATTGCCGCTTCATGATGTGCTGAGTTCAAAACAATGGATCCCATAGTATTGTTACTTTCACTCTGAAGATGCCTTAAATGCGGAAATGATCTTCCATCATGACCGTGTAGAAAATTTTCAAGCCCATTAGATCCATATAAACACAAATCTTCAGCTCCTTTCATCAACTTTCGGACCCCAGGCTTCAAATGGATATTACTCTCAAGCTCAAGTTTCAATACCTTTGAAGTTTTATAGCAGACTGTCCACCATTCCCAGTGCTTCCCAATGAGTATTTTGTATCTCTTCAAATTCAAATCTAAGAACAAAGTCTCTGGCAACATAGAGACATTAGGAATATGAACATCGAGAGAAGAGATGGGCAAATCCTTTAACTCATCAAGACTTGCATTTTCATTAGCTTCACTAGATCCTTCAATTTTCCATTGGTTAAAGCTGTTTCCCATGTGCAACACTTCCAATTTTTTCAGGTTACATAGAAGTTTCGGGGGAATCACTTTGAGCTTAGAGCAATGGGCCAAATTCAACATTTGTAAAGAAGTCAACTCTGCTAATTGAACTGGTAGCGATTCAATTTCAGAGTAAGCAAAACTTAGGACTTTTACATTCTTCAAGCTTCTAACCTCAGTTATATTTTCTAACAAACACGAGTGTAGACACAATGTTTTTAGTTTTATTAGAAAACTAAGCGATGGGAGTGATGAAAAATGCACATTGCTAAATGCCAACAGTTTCAGCTCCTTTGAATATTTGAAAAACATGCTGGGTATGGTCAAATCACTGTTTGTGCTATCAAGTAGAAAGAATTCTAATCTCGGACAATACAACTCTTCTGGAAGGTCACTAATTTCACTCGGTCGTAAGCAAATTCCTTTATAGCCCTCTTGCATATTTTTGTCTGGCCATTCTGTCAACTTTCTGTGCCTCATAATGAATGCATGTAATTCATCGGATGCAATCGACAATGCAATATCTCGAAAGACGTCATGTATTGTAAAACGATGACTAGAAAGGCTATCAAGAAATAAGTTTGATGATTTTAGCTTACTTACAATAGCAGAGATTCCGTTGTGGGCTTCTTCCATGTTTTCTGTGTGTTTCAAAAAATCCAACCCCATAGAGTGCATAAGAAGGTCTTCAATTGAAGGATCATGGGACAACATGGCACCAAGTAAGAAAATATGCTTGCTCTCTGATGAGCTTAGACAATCGTAGCTCGATATCAAAATGGTATCTACCTCTCTAATTCCTGTGATGTTTCTCCTTAAGGGATTATTCAATCGGGCAAGGTAATCTTTCCAATCATTCAGATTTTTTCCTAGCAATTCTTTGGCAGCTGTAGCAATTGCTAGCGGCAAGCCTCCACACTTTTGAACAATTGCATTGGCTATAGATAACAGGTTAGGACTACTTGAGTCAACAGACAATTCAGCAGTCCTCTTGAACAACTCCCATGCTTCATCCTCTGACAAAAAACCTACTCTGATAGTTTTTTCACATTTCATGCGGTTTGACAGCAGCGTTTCGTTCCTAGAAGTTAGTAAAATTTTGCATCCTTCATTTTTTTTGTTATAATTCTCAACATCAAAAAAAGGAATTCCAACTTTGCCCAAATCAAGTTGCTCCCAAAGATCATCCAATATTAGGAGCATATTCTTCTCTTGCTTCAACCTCTCACACAGACGACAAGCTCTTACTTCTTCAAATGTTTCATTGAGTTGCATACCCAACTTCACAGCGATCTGGCCTTGAATCTTCTCAACATTCAATTCTTGAGAAACAATTGCCAAGATCACCTTTTCAAACATGTTTTGACTTTTTGCTACCTCTTTAGCTATAGTGGTCTTGCCAACACCACCAAGCCCACACAATCCAATCATATTAACACATGGATTCCGTAATTCCTCTATAATTTGATTCACAATTTGCACTCTTGAACCAATCCCTGCATTGCTTGCTCTGTTGAATAATTCCGGCATGGACTGTGGAGGAACGCGATATGAAACTGTATTGAAGTTTCTCTTTCCACAAACTTCAACAACTTCTTGCGCCATTGCCTTTGCTCTTTTGCTTAGTTTATAGCGTAGCCACGGGTTGGGACATGAAGTTACGCTACACTCTGTTTTTGCTTGAGACTCTTCATCATGAAACTTTTGAATTTGCTCTGAAATCTTATCTACTCTGCTCAGCCAATGAAGAACTTTGTCTTCAATTGGTTCTGCATTGTTTTTAGCCTCATGTATTTGGTGTTGTATGGAGCTTCTTTCATCGATGAGTTCCACAAGTCGTTCATTGAGCTGCTTAATATTTTTGTGATAGCGAAACAAATGATGAAACTGCTTGCAAGTTAAGTCCAGCACTAGGTCCCAGAACTTGTCAACAAAACTGCTCAATGTTCCACAAGTAATATCCATTTAACTTGTGCTCTGTTAAAAACATATAGCCAAAACTCAATTAATCTTGGGTTATTCATGCAGAAGTATTGGAATAAGTACGTTTACTTTGAACTAACAATAACCAATATGAAATTTTACAATATGAATGTATATAAACCTTCGATATACCAACGGTAAGAAGCTTTCACTAGTGTTCCAACACAAAAATAACAAGTTGAGAAATCAAGAAACACAGAAGATGTAAGGAATGCTGTGAAATTATGAAAAAAGCTAAGACAACGAGAACAAACGAAAACATAGTGATGGAGGAACATGGTGTGATCAAGAGCACGGGCAAGGAGCCCAAACAAAGAAGTCCAACATTCCAAAAGATCCATTACAAGGCATTGGAGGCCCAATAACAAGAGCAAGGACCAAAGCTATGAAGGAGGCCCTAAATTGTCTAATAGGAGAGCTAAAAGAGTTGGAGCCCATTTATTTAGAAGAAGCACATTTTAATGAGCCTAAAAGGAGTCCAAAAATGGTGATCACATTGCTAGAAGCCCAACAAGATGATGTACAAGGCCCATGTGAGGTTCAGATTGAAGAATTCACTTAAAATACCATGTGACAAGCATGTGCCTTGGACAAGGATCATAAGTGACGTCCAAAAATCTTCAAGAAGGATCACGAAGGTATCATTATGAATTGATTATGATTTAAATTCGTTTTTTTAGGTCAAGGAGTGTTCTAGAAGATCATGTTTTGATCTAATTTCCTATTTTTAAATAGCAGACTTGTTCTTAAAGTTTAAGTTATTTCCTTTTATTTCTATGTAATAAATGGCGTCTCCCATAGTCAAATAATCATTAATGAGGCATCATCCCTAGTATTTATGTCTTAGGATGTTGATTCTAGAGTGTTATATTATTGCCTATATATAGGTTATGTTTTTTGTAATTGAATTCAGATTTAGATGAATGAAAATTGAGTTTATTTCTCTCAGTGTGAGCTTTGCTTGTATCCTTGTATTCTCGTGAGAATACTCAACAGTATCAAGGGATTGATCAACCTTGTGGTGTCTTCATGGCTAGGGTTGTAAGAGACGGGTTCTCTTAAGGTCCTACCTAGATCAACCGTCCGTTCGTTACTTGATTCTAGCAGGTTCGTACCCCGTCATATCACATAGCAAATATTAATTAAAAGTGCCAAGAAAAGGATTAATAAGTTTAGTAAAGGATTTTTTTTAAAGATTGATTTGAAGCACAAGACATTCGCAAGACGCTCAAGGATTTAAACCCAAGTATATCAGTATCTCACTTCCACGAGGTTGCCTCAAGCATGCACTAGGGGTCAGGACTTCATTTTTTTTCATTGTCATTCCCTTCGTTTAGTTTGGCTTAAAAAAAAAAAAAAAGAGGAGGATAGAAAAGAATGGATAAAATCACAAATTGTTGCTTTGCCATGATCTTTAAAAGATAATTCCCATGGATTAAAAAGAATACTTGAGTTGGTTAGATGTAAAGAAGTGTGCTAACTTTCTTAAAATATAATTCATTTTAATTATTTATATTGAAGAAATTACGATGTATCTTATATCTCGTACAATAATTGCATAAAAATTATTTTAAGATACATGTTACTACAAAAATAGTTTAAGAAGGTAATCTCCCCTTTTTGTTTTGCCCTCCCCATCCAAACCAAGTTTAAGAATAAAATTGCACTAAAAATTGCTTTAGGATGTTGAGCGCTATTAAGAAAATATTTAATAGATGAAAATTGCATTAAAAAAAATTATTTTAAGATGCAATAGAAAAACTACTCCAGGCAATGATGGCAACTTATGTTTAAGTGATCGTACTTTTTACTTTGTACTTTAGGGGGGGAAATTGGGCCCAAAAATGTTGGCGGAATCAATCTGCTTTCTGATCTCAAAGTGTTGGGGAAGAAAAATGAGAAATCCAAAAGTACAGGGCTTGGTTTCTTGTTTGAAAACAAAAAAACAAAAACACTTGTTTGGTAAGTTATTTTTAGTTGATTCTTTTTAAAAATAAAAAACAGTAACATGTTTTTAAAAACCAAAACAACTTTTACATATTTTTCTGTTTTTGTTCGTGTTTTTCTTTTGAAAAAGTTTTGAGAAATCTTTTTCTCTTCTCACCTATTATCTATTACTTATTATTACCAACGACAACTATCACCTGTCGAATGTAGTTTTCTATGGTTTTTTTTTTCAAACATGATTTTTTTAAATTATTATCTAAACAAATTCTATTGTTTTTTTATCTTCAAAACTTGTTCTAGAAAACAAAAAGTTTTAAGAACAAGAAAACAAAGAACAAAAACAATCAAGCCCAATCACTAGCTGCTCTTTTTAGCTAATACTATATATTTTGTAAAACATCATTGCAATTTTAGAAACCTATATGAAATTATTGGTCAAAAAAAGAGAGAAAGCTATATGAAAATTTTAAAATATTAAAATCTTATACATTATGTATTTGTAAACATGAAACCCTGCTTTTCTGCATCTATCTTTCTCTCTCATTGTCTTAATTATATTCTTTGTTTTCTTTTCAATTTATCTCCTGATCTTCTTTTCCCGTTTTCCGTTATCTCTCCCATCTAATCTCTCAACTTCCCCAGTCATATCCTCAAATTCTCATTTTTAAAATTTAAATTTTAAATTCTCTTTCTTATTTATTTCATAATTTCATCTACAAGTTTCATCAGAATTTCATGAAATCCATTTTACGCTCTAAATCCATATAACATTTCAAGGATTTTGTTGAAATTGTTAAAAAAAAAGAAATCCTGATTTAAGTGTGAGATGATTTATTTATAACTTGCAATTAATATATTGTTTTCTTAAGACCAATTCATTATAGTGATGGCAATAAAAGTTTATTTTCACTATGCTATTTCAAATATTACCATAGCATATGGCAATTTAATCAGAAGCGAACACGAAACTCTGGCCCCAAAAAAAAAAAAAAAGAAGCGAACCCGAAACAAACGTGCGAAAGTATTAAAGGAAAGGTAAAACATAATGACGTCCCATTTGCTTGACATTTAATTAGAAAGACTTCGTTTTATTTTTAAAAAATTATAAACTTATAAAATTAAAATTTGTACAAAACAAACCGTCCTTATATATAAGATTATATTTTCATATACCAAAATATCAAGGGTAAAAGTGAGCGAAGTATCCTTATTTATTTTTATTTTTAGAGGTGTATCTAGTATCCTAAACTATTTAGTGGTGCAATTTTATTTCCAAACTAATAAAAATGGAACAATTCCACCCAACTTAACAGTTCCTCTTAACTCCGTTTGCTGATCAGCAAATGGACATTTCTTCTTTTTTTTTTTAATTTAATAATGATACATACTGCGTTGCGGCCCCACCTTGATCATCGCTGCCAAATGTACTGCACGCTCTTCATCATTTGTGCTTAGCCTCTCGATTATCACATTCCATTTCTTAGTGAGTAATTTCAGCAGATTCAATTGGCTTTACAATCAGGGATGGAGCATCCCGCAACTCTTCACTTTTTGCTTTGCCACTTTCCAGATTTCCTCTACAATCTTCATCCTCCTCTCTCTCTCTCTCTCCCCTCTCTCCCCTTCTCTCTCCCACCTCTCCATCTCTAACCTTTATACAAACACAATCTTGTGACGAAAACCTTCACCCCCAATTTCCCCTCCCAATTCTGGGTTTTCACCTTCTGATGAACAAGTTGTGGCTGCCTCAATGCGGTAGTCTTTTTTTTGGGGGGGGGGGGTGCCGATATGTCAATTAGCAAACAGTGTTAGGAGGAATCTGTTAAGTTGCGTTGCAAGGAATTACCCATTTTTATTGGTTTGAGGATAAAATTACACCACTAAATAGTTTAGGATTTTAGGTGCACCTCTAAAAATAAAATAAGGGTGCTAGCTGCACCTTTGCCCAAATATTAATTACGCGTTTTGGACCAAAATATTTCTTTTTAATGAAATTTTTTATTAAAATATTTTTACTGATGTTAAAAATGGAACCAAGCAGTGAAAAGATACTTTCTTTTTATTAAAATTAATTATTTAGTCTCTATATATGTTTAGAAGGAAAGCCTTATATTTTTTGGTTGAAAAAACCCTTATATTTTACTTAAAAAAACATACAAGTGGGCATCTTCAAAACCAATAGACGTCATATAAAGCTGAGGGAGCCACGCCTATATTCAAATGACAGCTTTGGAAGAAAAAAATTCAAAATGAGGGAGCCACACCTTAAGTATCTTCACTATGGCTGGAACACCTTTCTGCTTCTTCTTCTTGGTTGCTCTTTATATTCAGAAACACAAGAATATGCTACAAAAGTTGAAACACCATTAAACTTTGTAAATATAGATCAATTAAACACAGACTGACGTTGGCATAAATCTATATTTTTAAACTTACAGTAGGTATATAATCCTCAGATCTCCCAACAATAATCAGCTTTCCTCAATGTTCCAACACAGATCAAGCATGAGAGACCTCTTTTTTATGGTGTTTTGACCAACTTTAGGATACAGGTGCTTCACAAAAATCCAAGACGACTATAAAATCTGAAAGTTTTCCAAGAAAGATGATGAAACGAAGAAACATGATGAACTTGTGAAATCAAACAGGAAAAACAACATCAACTAAGCAATAAAGATACAAGAAATTAAGATGAACTCATCAAAAATAAAATCACAGGGAACAACGAGTCTTTTTTTTTTACCTTAAAGATATGAGCCGTCACGAATTGAAAGAGCAGTTTTTTTTTCAAAATTATTTTTGGGATTTTTGTCTTCTTGAAGAAAGATCACAAAACCAGCAAAATAAAGTTGAAAATGATCACAACAGCAGAGAATTGAAGTGCTAGCAAAGAAAATACAAAAAGCAGTAGATTCAGGATTTTTTTCCATTTTTTTTTTTGGTCGAGAAAAGACAAGGAAAAAGGGAATCAGAAAGTGGAAATATACAACACAAAGGAAACTCCAGAGATGATGAAGTAAAAGAAGAAGTAAGAAAGCAATAGAAATTAGCAAAAGGGAGAAAGTAGGAGATTTTTGAAACTATGGAGGAGGAGGAGAAGCAGATCTGAAGCTTTACAAAGTCTCTGGTTTTGATGGGAGTTAAGTCAATCCTACCTGGTCAATGCTGTAGGGTTTATATTATTGGGATAATGCATGACAATCTATGACCTTGTAAAACAAGTTAATTAATATCACTAATCAAATTCTCATCACTACTCAAATTTTCAAACTCCTCATGAACAGATTCCTCATATTTAGTACTATTTTTTCTTTTGGAAAAAAATCCCAGTTTAACATTATTATTATTTTTTTATGAAGTAGTACTGAATTGCCATTCTACATGGTCCTCTTTATGTATTTATAACGGGGAAAATGACAAGCAACCAACTTATTTTTAACCTAACGATGTACAGGGACGTCTAATTTGTAAAATTACATGCAACGGCCAAGGTTCCTATAAATTAAATAAAAAATAAAAATGCCTTCACGAGATCAGAAAACATAATTTAATGATGAAAAAATCGGGAAATTTATAAAATTTAGAAAATCAGTTAAAAAAATGAAACTAAGTTACAGCAAAAAAAGAATAAGCTTGAGTACGCACTACTTTGTTATGAATGGTTTCCATGCAACTTTAGATAACCTCTCCGCTTCCCTTCCCATACTCCTCCCTTATCTTTTTTTTTTTTTTACTATTAGATTAATATATTTTAACAGCTCAAAGTTTAATGTTTTATAAACTATTTATTAAAAAAATTAAAAGCATTTAATGCATTTGTAAACTATTAGAATTAATTTGAACCATTAAAATATTAATCTAAGAATTAAAAAAGGAAGAGGAGGAAGAGGATGGAAAGGGAAAAGTAGAGACGCCACGTGTCAACCATCATATAATAATATAAAATTTTATTATTATTGGTAGTAGTGGTAGCAATAGGGAAAAAAACACGTTGTACGGTTTAGGAGAATTATTTGTGCGTCATTTTAACATTAACTTTTTACTTCCACATGGTGACTTCTTTATGTATTTATCAAGGGGAGAATGACGAGCTACTAGCTTTTCTTTTGGGAAAATTGAGGAGAAGGACCTAAAAAAATTAGTATTTATTAAGAGGGATCTTAAAAATTATAATTAATTTGAATGACCAAAAATTAAAATATGAATTTATAATTACGAAATTATCCCTGGCCAAATCCCTACATTATCCCCAATGCCCATCCCAATATTTGACTATTAGTTATCAATATTTTTTGAGCAAAAGACTATTGGTTATCAATTGAAATATAAATTTATAATTACTAAATTATCCCCATTAAAATTAAAAGCTGAATACAGCAATTAACAAAAAAAAAAAAAATAGGGTCCTATTTTTCAGTCATTCATATATGCATCTACTAGCCTTTCATTCCGATATGGTTGGAAATTTTTCCAGCTTGCACGACTACGATTTTACCTTTCATTCCGATATGGTTGGAAAAATTATTAGTCAAGTTTAGGTTACGAAGTGGTAGTATTTACCTGATTTTCATATTTTGGTTAACAGAAAGAACTATATTTATATTAATCTAAGAAGCTTTGTATAGGTAGCGTGATTGTGTTCATATATATGTATAGTTGGGATTAAATGAAGGTACAAATATATACTTTTATATTCATCCAAAAAGACTTTATATTGGATGCTTTTAATCAAATATTATCAAAACAAGATACTAACGAATTAAGATTTAAGTAATTATAACTCCTCATTAACTTAATAAGGAAATTTGAACAATATCATTGCATTACTAAGGAAAGTTGAGTGAAATATTATGACATCAAACTGATGCTCAATAGTTATAGGTTTCAAAAATATACGGTTAATATCAAGTAAATCAAGCAACAAAGAAAACATTAAAAAGTTAAAAGTTCATTTTAGCAAAGCATATATCCTATGAGGGATGCCAACCATTGAAGCTACCCAGGACTTTGTCTTCCACATTGTCTCCATCACCATGAAACTCAATTTGAACCTGGATATATAATTGCACAAAATGCTGTGAGCAGATCAACTAGCTTATCATAATGAAACTAATAACTTAAATGATAAAATGCTAAACTAAATTTGAATAAATCATTCTAAGAGTTTAGACAACGTAAAAAAAAAAAAAAGTTAACAATAAAGTACAGAAATAAGAACTGAATCATTGTTTAACAATTATTATGATAAAAAAATGTAATTTAGTGTAGATATTGCACCTTATGTTTCAGTGGGGTTAGGATTTGTGCAGCTTGCACGATTATGCCCAAATTGGTGACATAGAGAACATTGATATTGCACCTTATGTTGGAATTGTGATTCACGACGCTTTTTTTGAGGTCTACCAGGAGGACGACTTGTAATGGGGGGTCGTAAAAAGATATTGGTCCTATAATCTTCAAAACACAATCGGTTTAGGTTGGGCATATCATGAGTTTCCACTGGAACCATGGTATTCATGTAAATCTTTTCTTGTGAGGATAACAAATAACACTCTTCAATATATGCGTAAATATTACCATGTAATTTTTTTATTGCGGCATAGGCATGAGGGCATGGAATTCCTGTCATTTGCCATGCTTGACAAGTACACTGTCTTAATGCCACATTAACATGCAAATGTTTACCGCCTACATGAACGAGCATTCGAGGTGGGCCATAGTTTTCTACCATCACGTTTTCAGCCAAAGCAACATGCTCTATAAGTTTAGCTTCGATCTTAGGTCCAATCCCATTTTTCCACTTTCCCGTAGCTTCTTTTGCAGCATAAAGCTTTTTAGCTAGCTTCTGTCGATGCTCATTTATTAGCACACATATGTTATCCCTCCTTTCTTTAACTAACCATGCATTAAAAGATTTTGCAAGGTTAGTAGTGATATTGTCCCAACGTTTAAATAGAAAGAGCGACATGGCCCACTTGTCAACATCACTTTGGGTCTCAACCCATATTGCTAATTCAGGAGAAAAGGACCTAAGACTTCCCATTGCCTTGACAAAATCCACATCCAATCGTGAATATGCAATAGCATCAAGAAATTTTAATGCTTCCTTCTTACATCTTCTGTGTTGTCCATGACAAACTTTTGAGAACTCAGCACTATAGTTTTCTTTTATATGCCTATAACAAAAAGCATGACGAGACCCACCAAATACTTCTCTAATTGCACCAATAATCGCATTGTGACGATCAGAAACAATAGTTATTTCAATAGATGCAATCAATTCTTTCACATTCGTTAAGAACCAAAACCAATCTGCATAGGTCTCTCCATTTACAATTGCATAAGCAAGAGGGTACATGTCATTATTTGCATCATATGTAGATGCAGCCAATAGTGTCCCTAAATATGGACCACTTAGGTGACAACCATCAATATATAAAATTGGTCTACAGCCTTGCAAAAACCCAGTTATGTAGCATCCATATGCTATGAAGAGCCTTTCAAAATGGTTGTTGACAGATGAGGTCCACTTGGGCACTGTTTGTGGATCAGCTTCCTTTAAACGATTACATAACCAAGGGATTAGCATAGATGATTGTTGTATAGACCCATTAATGTTATCCAAGGCTCTCTCCTTTGCCCTCCAAGCTTGATGGTAATTTAAGGATACTCCATATTCCCCCCTTCATATATGAGGCTTTTATTGATTTCATAATAACTACTAGAGAAAAAGATAGACAATAAGCAGGAAAAAAAATCATAAAACTAACCAACCTGAAAATGATAACATGGATGATGGACTCAACCTTCTATATATTAACACTATCCTGCAATACCAAATCATAGTATTGGTTAGCCTAAAAAAAATGTAATTTTAAAGAAAGACGACATTGGCATAAGCATAACATAATCAATTCTCTATTTCCTTAATAATTAAATATACATTTTTTGAAACAATATTTGTTCGTGTGGATATATCATACCTTTGCTGAGCATAGCATTTCTACTGTTTTTTTTTTTAAGGTCTCCTTTATCCTTCCATTCCATCTCATGCTCTTCTATTGTCAATTTAGACAACTTTGTTGTTTCCAACATTCCTGGACAAAGCTTCTCCATTTCAGGGCATCCAATTATTTGTACCACTTTTAATTCTGGAAATTTGAAGGTGCAACTTCATGAAGAAAACATCTTCAAGCTTGGCATATCAGTAAGTTCGATTCTCTGGAGTTGGTTGAATGTGATTCCACCTTCTACATCTTCACTGGTCTCATTCATTACAATTTCGTCCATTTTTTTGCAATCATTTATCTTAAAAAACACAAGACTCACCAAAATTTTAACGGTCAAACTTGTCACTAAATAGATGAGCCAATCACATATGGATACAAACAGCATTCTCAGTTTTTGAAATGAAGCAGAGGATGGTGCCAACTTGACCAAATTACAACAACTTTTGACTTCAATGTATTTCAGATTTTGATGCATTAGTGGTAGTTGAGAATCATCTTTCCATATGCTCTTGAGCTGGTCCAAATAGGCAATGCATAATTCCTAAAATAGTGGGATTTTCCCCATAAAATCAAGAATATGGTCGTGTGAGGGAAATATCTCCTCAAAGGAACAATGTTCCACATAAAGCTTTTCCAACTTGGGAAATCTTCTTTGAGAGTTACAGGGAAAGGTTATCCCTTCATTCTGAAAGCCTTCTACATAAAGAGTTTTCACTTTAGGAAAAACATCCCTTATCATGATGATATTCTCCAAATTTAAAGCCATGCTTTCGGTTGTGAAAATTACCTATAAAATTATAATTAATAAAAGAATTACCATAATGAGTAGGCGACTTAGTAAATTACATCAAGAATACTGATTTCGAGAACTTGTAAATGGATCACTCATCTTTTCCTAATATTTAAAATTTTTATTATTTCATATTAAAATTACATCCATATACTAAAATTAAAAAAATCCTTTAAATTAACTTCACAGCCCCCTTTCTTTACTCTGAATTAAATTGGGGAAAAAATCCATTGTCCCCTTCGAATTCACATTTAGCGCTTGCCTTTTTTTATGGCTCCGTTTAGATTGGAGGTAGAAAAAGTAATTTATTTTTAATCTGATTTTTAAAAATATTAGATTGGATGACGTAATTTATATTTGGATTAACTTTTATAAAAGTTAATTTGTAAAGTAGAAAAATTGTTCGGATTATGGTTGGATAAGCAAGTTTAGTTTGTATGACCAAAATAAATATGACTTTTATTAAATAACAAAAGAAATTAAAAATATGAATTTATAAAATATAATGATTTCAAATTATCATAATAGCAAAAAAATTATATTTAATGGATAAAATATATTTAAATTAGAAATACTGTAAAATTTTTAAATCAAATAATACTACCTAATTATGAAAATTCAAATTCAAATTTTGCATTGATATCAAGTCCAATATCAATTGAAATGGTTGTCTTTTATATATTAATAAAAAAAATACACAGGTAATAGGGGAAGAAAGAAAGGAGAATTACAATGAGATTCCAAAAAGAAAAATAATTACAAAACAAGTACCAGAAATTGTCATTTTATACTCTGAACTTGTTATTATAGACTGCTTAGATTGTTATTGAAAGTTTTTAGTAATTATTTTCTTTTTTTGGGATCAATATAATTCTTTTGAAAAAAAAAGGCAAAACACATGGTATATAATTAAATAACACACGCACTGAGGAGGGTATAAAGGGAAAAAAATAAAATGGCCTATTTGAATAAAGCTATGAATAAAACCACGAGGTCGTATGACAATGAAGTGTGAGACCCACAGCAATTAAAAAGAAAAAGGTAGCTTTAACGTGGGCATTTTTTTAAGATTCATTTTGGGTGCTCCTTCCTAACATTTTTGACTTGTTTTTTCTCGCCAAAAAAGAGGACGTAGATAGGAAGCTTTTTTTGGGGATGCCAAGGTCTCTTGGGGCCAGCGGATTCAATGATGTAGCGACTATAATTGAATACAGCTAAATAACACTACCTATGATTTTTATTATAAGATTTTATTTGTAGTCTGTAAATAAAATTTATAATTAAAAGATAGCACAAAATTACGTTGTGTGATTATGAAGCGTGAAACCCACAGCAGTTAACAAGGAAAACGAAGTAGTATTTGGTGGCTCCTGGGAGCGTTTACTTTTGTCTTTTATCTTTTTTTTTTTGGTCAAATTTGTCTTTTATCTAGTTAGACGCAAGGTAAAGGCATTTTTTGAAGATTCAGCTTTTTTAAGCTAAAGTGCTCTGCTATTTTTTTTAAAAAATTTTAATTTTTTAAATTTGTCTTTATTTTAGTTCCTCAAATTTTAAGTCATAAGTTTTGATCATTTAATTTTCTTTTCATTTAAAATATTAATTCCTATATTTCAATAATAGTTTGAATCATTTTGTCCTTAAAAGATCAAAACCTATAGTTTGAACTTAGGACCAAAACCAAAATAAAGATAAACTTAAAAATTATATTAACCCTGAAAAAATCTTAATGAGATAGCTTTCGACGGCTTATTATTATTATTATTTTGGGAAAAAGTGTGTTTCATGATGAGGTAGCGACGGCCAAGATAATTACTTTTTTAAATAAAACGCGTCGGAAGTAGTCGGGGAACCAGGCGCAACCTCCCAGTGTAATTTTTTTTTTCAATCAAACCTGAATGGGGAAGCGTTTGGTTCTACCTCTTGACATTTTTCCCCCCTAAATAAGACAATGAGGTGGTGTTTGGTGCACCTAACGCTACCATGTTTCAACTTTAACATATTTTAATTACATATATTATATTATATTATTTTTTGTGTTAATTAAAATATTCTGAATATGGCCCGTTAGTTTGTTAGGTTTAGTTCAAGTAGAGTTTTAGACTCAATTCCTTTTAGTCATTTATTGACCTTGATGGTGGGTTAACTTTTGACGGCTGCTTGAGTGAGCATCTGAAAAAAACCTAATTCATGGCTCTTGAGGTTCCTTAACTGGTGACGGCTCTTTTCTAGTTTCATTACTGTGCCCACCTCCCAGTTAAAAGAAATCTTGGTGTTTTTTCTATTAACAATATTTGAATCATTTTAGTTGTTCTAATTTAGATCAAGACCGAGAGCATTATGAATTGCTTTTTCAAACTATCTAGCATGGAGAGATGTATTTGTAAGTTTTTCACTGCTACTCTACTCTGATGATTGTAGAATTTCATATGACTATTTGGATAAATATATTTGTTCATATGAATTGCTCTCAATTGTCATATTTATGTATACAAAAACGAGTTTTTTCCTGAAAATAAATATAGTTCTGAACTCGTCCAAGTGTTTTCGTGGAGAGGTTGCACCTCTCATAAATCCTTGGCAGGTGTTAAAAAAAAAAAGAGGATATTCCACGCTAAAAGCTTCTTAAAAAATAGGGACAATCACAAATAAAAACCCTTGAAATTATGAAATAGCAAAATAAGTGCTTAAATTAACACAATTGTTATCAAAAACTGGGTCTTAAGTATGAATTACGAAATGTTGGTAAAAAGATTAGAACACCCCTTTTTTCTTCTCTTTCTTTTTTCTCTTCCTCTCCCTCTTTTAATCCTTCTCTTTTCTCTGCAATCTATAAACATTCAAGGCCTCCGGTGCTATTGTGCTTCATCAAGACCTTTACAGTTCTCTCTTCTGTATTAACATGTAACAATTGCGTTAGCTCGATCTTCCTTATTTATCAAGATCCTTTTATTCTCATTATTTTCTTCATCAGTATTTCTCTGTTCAATTTGACCATGTGCACCCATCAGCACCTGGTTCATTAATTATACACGGAAGTGTTTGTGTAATAGTAGTAATTTTGTCAAGTTGTTGAATATGCAAAACAAGTTCGAAGAAGAAGCAGAAGTGTTCGTTGTTAATGAAAGTGTTGATTGGCGAGGTCGACCTGCTGCGAGAGCTAAATCTGGAACATTGATTGTTGGAATTATATAGAGATGCATGATAAGTGGACACTAAAATTCCTTTATTTTCTCTCGACCCCTTGGAAAATTGAATGAGATGATCGCTCAGGTTGATATATGATAAGTGCTTTCTGCTGTACGTATACGAACACACACACAAATATTAAACAATTTAAGAGATATTTTATGCTTAATTAGAAGCATTATTTTCACAATTTAATTATCAATAAAAAATATAGTATGAAAAATAACAAATGTTTGAAAAGTTATTCACAATAACTTAAGTTTTACCATAAATTGATACTCTTCCGGTCCTAAATATAAAATTCATTTTATAGTATAAATTACACTACAAAATAGGTTTTATATTTAGGACCGAAGTAGTATTATTTTTACAATTTAGTTGCTAATGCCAAGTCTAGTATTTGAAATAACAAGTGTGAAAAAATTATTCACAGTAACACAAGTTTTAGCTGAAGTTAACATTATTTTCATAAATTAGTTGCTAATGACAAGTTTCATATGAGAAATACCAAGTATTGAAAATCTATTCATAAGAACTTAAATTTTAGTAGAAATTAACAATATTTTCATAATTTAGTTGCAAATGACAAATTTGGTATGGGAA